GCAGAGAGACAAAAGCCAAGTCTACAACCCAAGAAAAGTCAAGCAAAGAAAGAAAAAGCAGGAGCAAATCCAGATCCGTGGAAAAATCCAGCAGAGATAAGAAATCCAGGTCTAGAGAGAGATTCAGCAACAAGTCCTCCAGACGGGACGGAGAAAAGACGGCAGAACCAGAGAAACCAGGTAAGAAAACGCAACACGATGCCAGGACCAGTCGCTCCAGACAGGCTGGTGTGAAATCTTCTTTTCTACACAGATGCAGAGTCCACATCCAAAGGACAACCGTCTCCTCTCGAAGACTCCAAACCTGAAGTTTCAAACACAGAAGAAGTGGAGGGGGAGGCAGCGTGAGTTCCTCATGTTGCTGTTTTTTGTTTTAGGTTTTTTTTTGTTTGCAGAAAAGCCTCTGCAAGTGAAACTAGAACAGTCTTAACTAAAGATGCCACTTCAGGTTGCCTGGAGAGGAGAGCGACATCGAGGGGATGGAGGTGATTGCTGAGGATGGAGAGAATCTGGCAGATGACAATGAGGAGGCTCTGCAAGAGGAAGAGAAAAAAGAGAGAGCACCTGAAAAAGGTAGAAAATGAGAGCTGAGCTTTCACAGCAAAGCTGGCTTTAAAGGAAAACAAAGGAAATACTTGACTTTGTTAAAAAAAAAAACCTCCCTTACAGATGAAGTAAAGGAGGTGATAGGTGGAGAGCCTGGCATTGAGGAGAAACCTGCGTCGGAGAAGGAGATAAAGAAGGAAGAGAAGGAGGAAGTAGAGGAGTCAAAGGAAGCAACAGAGACTCCTCTACAGGAGGATTTGGTAAAGACTTTTAGATGAACATGTTAGTGTGGACATATTTTAAGCTTTAAAGTGGAAAAAAGGGATTCAGTTGGAGCGATGTGCTTTTTCAGGAGGACTTCCCTGTAGACCTGGAAAACTGCATCACTCTGGATGAACTGGAAGAAGATGACTCTGACGACCAAGGTATACCTGAAAGTCTTGTGATGCTGAACACAAAACATATTGTTGTACCAGCACGTTTGGTTGAGTTTTAAAGCTCACTGTTCAGTTTCTGATATTCTTCCTGTTTGATTTTGTTGCAGGTGGAGAATCAGCAGATGAGCCCAAGGTAAGTGTTACCTTTAATATAACGGCTGAGTTTTTGTCTGATATGTTGCTGATTTAACAGTTTGTTCTTTCTTTGCTTGTAGTCAACATCGAAATCCAGCAGGGTTTTTTACTTCGGCCACCTACCACCTAATTACGCCCTCTTTGACTTCTTCCAACTGCTGCGAAATTTTGGGAAGGTGGTGCGCTATTACCTGATTGGCAATCGACGAGAGGTCAGTAAGAAAATAAGATGAGATTAAAAAAAAAAAATTTTTTAGCTTTTTAAAATTTAAAGATAGTGAATATCTTTGTAAATGAAAATCAAATTTGATACAGTTATTAGCCTGAATACAAACTGCATAAAGGATACATTGATCATATACATCATTCATCACAGTCATTTTCATGACCTCTGTCAGCTGATAGAGGAATCCAAACTGTGCATCATCAGGCTCCTCCATCATATTGGATAAAAAAAATAATAATATGGAAGTTGATTGGCCAGCCAAGTTGGCTTGAGGCTATCTTACATTGCTGTGTTTGTGTATGTTGGCTTTGGTATTTGCTACTAGCAGTAAGAGTTATAGTAATTGCGTTGATCCTGTTTATGTTGTGACCCTTAGAGTTCAGAGTTGAGTGGATTCTTTACCTTTGGGACCATTTTCAGACTCTTTTTGTGTTTCAGGGTTTCATTGAGATGTCGAGTTCTTCAGCGGCCCTGAAAGCTGTTGAAGAGCTCGTCAGCAAACCAGCCATCCACAACTGCCCCAAACTCAAAGCCCGCATCTCCACCAAATACTACAGACTTGACAACGGGTCCGAAACCGCCTCTTCACTCTTCCCAATTTCTTTTCTGTGAACTTTTAATCATGAAATTCATACTTTACTCCTTTCTTGCAGATGGGTTGTTCACTCGGACGGCAGCAATGACAAGGACAGTCGAGGCAGGAAGCGCGAGAAACGAAGCAAATCCAAGACCTCAGACCAGGACGAGACCGACAGGAGGTCTAAAGGGAGGAAGGAGTCCCCGAAGAAGACATCAGAGAAATCAGGCAAAAAGACTCCAGAAAAAGATTCTGGGTCAAAAAAGCCTCCAGAGAAAGACTCATCAGGGAAAAAGACCCCAAAGAAAGAGTCCACATCCAAAACGTCTCCAGAAAAGGATGCCAAAAACACCTTGGAAACGAAATCCACTGGGAAAAAGACTCCAGCGAAAGATTTGCCATCTAAAAAAACTTCAGGTAAGGATTCCACAACAAAAAAGACTCCAGCGAAAAAGTCCGCATCCAGAAAGACTCTGGAAAACAAGTCTACATTCAGAGAAACTTCAGAAGAAGAGTCCAAAAAGTCTCCAAAGAGGGAATCGTTGGACAAAGAGCCTCCAGAAAAGGTCCTTAAAGACGGCCCGGAGAAGGAATCCGCGGGGAGAAAGACTCCTGAGAAAGGGTCATCGTGTGCAGAGATTCCAGACAGCGAGACGCTGGAACCAAAAGGAGCTCCTGACAATAATTCAGTGCCTCAGACAACTGTGAAGAATGAACTAAAGAAAGAAAATACTCAACAAAATGAGGAACCAGCAGCTGATAAAGCGCCATCTGAAAAAGATTATATCAAAAAGGAAACACCACGCACATTCAAGCAGGAGGAGCAGGAAATACCAGTAGACGTTTGTACGGAAGCAGGACCAAATGTGAAAGATGCAGAGAGTCCAGATCCACCAGTCTCCTCTACAGAGCCCTCAAAACCACCACCTGAACAGGTATAACTGAAAGCCCGAAGGTGCTGTGATCCCAGCTCAACAGAAATATTCGTTTCCCCAGGATAACATCAAAGTCTTAAATGCTATTTCACGTAGTTTCAAAACGCCAAAACAAAACGGCCTTTTTGGAAACAAAATTTTTAAAAAGGCTGACATTCCCATTGTGTTTGACAGATCTCAAATGTTGAATCAGCTGTTAAAATAGCTCCATCCATTTTATCTGCAGTTCAGTCTTAAATATGTAGTTTTGTTCAAATTGCCTCAGCCATGAAATATTTCTTATTAAAATTACCTGTGCGATGAATAGACTTTAAATGTAAATATATCGCACAGCAGTTAAAAACACAGTTAATGATGGAAAAAGATTTTTGGCCATAAATAAATGAAAATCTGCCCTGAAGTGCAGGATTAAAGCTCATGACTGATTTGTTACTTTCAGGACGCGAAGCCCCAGTTTGAACCTGCAGAGGGCGCTGCTGAACCTCAGAAACCCACCAAACCTGTTGGTAAGAAAGCCTCTGAGCTTATTTGAAATCCCATTTAGTTACAGTTTAGTTTGTTGCTTCCTGTTGCATAATAAGGAAGTTTAAACACGTGCAGCGGTGCATTCACTGTCGCTTGTTTGTTTTGTAGGGACGGAGTTCGTGCGACCGGTCGTCGGTTATTTCTGTAACCTGTGTCAGCAGATCTTCGCTGAAGAGGATGAAGCCAAACAGCAGCACTGCAGCAGCCTGTCGCATTACAGCAAATACCAGGTGGAGGGAAAAAAGGTTTTAATGTTAAGTTTTTATTTTTCAGCTGAATTTAAATTAAGTCCTTGTTTTGTTTGGTTTTTCAGGAGAAGACTGGGAGGGATCCGTGGACGAGCTGAATATCTGCAGAGACATTGGTTACCTTCAGATTTTATTAATTGACTTTATCAGAGCTGAAACGGGACTGAGATCCTAAACATGATTTGATTTCTGTCTGTTCTCCACTGGACTTTGAGTTTCTGTACAAAGATTTTGTTTTTTAAAAAGCTTCTGCTGAAAAATCCAAAAATGTATAAATATTTAAGTTTTATGTCATGCAGAACAGCAACTGTATGTTTGAGAAAGAGTGAGATGTGACTGTAAAAAGCCACTTGCTTACATTTCTGTTAAGCTCCAGGCTCTCTCCTACTCACGTGCTCTAGTCCTAAAAGGTGTTGATTGATCAACCTAGAAGATTTAGAAACAAACACCAGGTTCAGGTGCTGTCAGATTAAGAAAAATGTCTTAAGGATGCTGTAATGTCAGAATATTAACAGCTCCCTGGGATCTAATCAGTTTTTGTCTAATTGTACTCATGCCGCACCTTCACAGAAGCTATGTAATTTAAGAATCTGTAGTGTTGTCAAATAAATAATCTCACATGAACAACAGTGGTTTTATTATTTTATTTTTCTAAAACATCAACAGAAAACTCAAAAGTGAGACTTACAGTTCAACATGTCAACCCAGGAAGTCGTGACGCCGTCATAGATTTGTTCAAAGACTAGTTCACGATCACAGCCATTGATCTGTCGCTTCATTGTTTACAAATGTAACACTGATGTAGCGGTGAGACTGCGGTAAAGAAATGAAAATCGAGCCGTGACTAAATGGCACGAGACCAATGGTGACAGCACAAAACACTGGGTCTTTTATTTTGAAAATAACCAGATTATTTTAAGATCACGGAGGTAATCTGGAGTAAAATCACATTTTTATGTGACCTGCGTGAACTCAGGTGACATGTAAGGAGAGTCCATCTTCAGGACGCTGTAGCTTAATTATGGGAAAGATCTGAGCAGAGGGGGAGTTGGGGTCGCCTGATGATTCTGTTGAGCCGATGTTTTTAGATGAATAAAGAAAGTGATTGACAGCTGTGTAAACACCTGTACGGTATCAGTTTTTTGTTTAGTTTTAAAATTGGGATCTTAAACACAGTATTCCTTTTCCTGACCGTTTAGACAGAAGAAGAACCAATAAAAGAGCTAATCAATACCTGCAGAAATAAAGCAAAAAAAAAAAGGAGGCGTGGCTACAAACAGCGAGACCTTCGGGGTTCAATGCCACAGAGCGGCAGCAGAAAGTCGCTCCGATGTGTGCTTCAAACGTTGCTATAGAAACAAAGATTTTTAAAAAAAAGTCCATCCACACTTCTTCCTCAGTTTCGGATGTTCTCACGGCGTTGTCGTCTTCACCTTCTTCTCCGCTTTGCTTTGCTCCTTCTCCAGGTATTTCTGAAAAACAAAACAAACTTCTGTTTGGTGGAGCCGTGTGTCAGATGTGTGGAGCTGATTCAGGCTCAAAGGTCATGTGTGGGTGGAGCTATGAGTGGGCGGGGCTGGTTCTCACCTGGAGCTTGTCGTAGTGCGCCTGGCTGCTGCAGTGCGTCTTCTTCGCTGTGTCTTCGTTGGAGTAAAACAGGAAACAGATGCGGCAGTAAAAACCTGCTTTCACATGTTCGACACCTGCAGGAAAACAACAATCGTATTGATGATGACGCCTTTTTTTTTTTTTTTTTTTTTTTTTTAAACATAAACCAGCCAACTGCCTGGTGATCAGAAAGTGTCCTCACCAATGGGCGTGTTGGGGTCGTACGGTGGCAGCGGCATAGACGCCACGCTGGGTTTGTTCTCAGCAGGAGGAAGAGCCTCGGTCTCCCCAATCTGATTGGTCGATGTCTCCATCTGCTCCACCAGCTCCTCCTGTTTCTCCTGAGGGGAGAGAATTTGTTTAATCCAACTGTATTTTAAGTAATCAATAATCACGCCGTTATCGGTCATTAAAGATCTTCAGAAACGACTCACGTCCTCACTGCTCCTCTCAGCAGAAACTTCAGGAACTTTCTCCGCGGCCAACTTTTCTTCCACCGCTGTCTCTTCGTTCACATCAGGGGTCTCCATTTCCTCCTCCTGCTGCTTCTCCTCCTTCTGATTCTCCACATCCTCCTTTTTCTCCTCCTCCACCTCTGGTTGGGCCTCCTCTTTAGGTTTCTTGGCCGGTGGTTCCTCGGCATCTTTCGAGAACTTTTGTGGCGAGTCGTCACTCGCTCTCTTCACGGTGTTCGGCGTTCGATGGCTGAGTGAACACAGTGAGATGAGACAGAGCGTTTAATGTGACACAAACACAAACTCCCAGCATGCACCTCTGTATGCTCTTCACCACAGCCTCAAAAACAGGAGTACAGATAAAACTGAACAGAACCTTTGGACTAACAAGGTTTGACCCTTGGTCAAAGCTTTAAAATGTGATGTTTCATCAACACTACAGAATAGTCGTCTGACCCGACAGTCAGCTGGTCCCAAGGCTTTCATAGGACCTCAACAAAGCTTATAAAACATCAGAAAGAGTTGTTTGACTTTTCACCATCGAATGTTTTTCTCAAAATTAGCAAACCAAAGAGTGAAAAACCCTGGCCGACATTAGAGGCACTTCAAAATAAAAACAGTATTTAAAGTTTAAACAAGTCGAAGTTTTCATGACTGAATTGTTTTTTAAATTTTGTGATAATTTTTTTTTTGTTTCCTGCACAGTGATGACATCATGCACTCAGATGTCAGCCTGGAGATTATTCTGGAAATACAGGATTTTCCAGCAGTTAATGGCAGAAACATGTTCCAGCGACAGTTCCTGCTGCTTGTGGTAAAAGAGTGTTTCTAGATTGGTTGTAGTTTTTATTTGGTCGCCAGTCGAACAGCCGTTAGCGGTGACTCATGCACCCAGGGGCCACAGAAGACGACGATGACACTCACCCGTGTTTCAGTTGCTTGTACTTCCTGCTCACGTAGATGGTCAGGCGCTTCCCGTTTAACTTTGGAGACTTCGCTTTATAATCGGCAGCCATCTTCTCGGCATCCTCGGCATTGTACATCTCGAGGAAACACTGAGGAAAAATGTTGGACGGTTTTAAAGCAGCAGTAATTAAACGGATTCAGTTCAGGCGTGCGTTTGCCCTGGTTCTGTACCTCTCTCCGGATCCTGTTCAGGAAGTACTTTTTGACCTTGCCAAATGGCTCAGCAAACTTCAGGATTTCCTCGTCTGTGTATTTGCTGTTGGGGAGCTGACCGATGTACACCACCTTGCTGGAACCGGACTGAACAGCAAGCAGAAAAGAAAACGTGATCAAATCAAAGAAAGGAGTGGGGGAAATTCAAAAGGTCTCAAAATTAATTCATTATAATCCTAAAGGCTGCCGTAAAACAGACGTCACTGATGCAAACTGAGCTTTATAGAACCTTAAATACACTCTGAATCAGTTAATCTAGCTCATAATCTGGATTAAGAGTATTTATATAAATCTCTTAATCCAGAGAAACCGTAGATTTATTGAGGAAGCATTTAAGCTATTTTTTTTGATATGTGGAGAATTTAACTTCAGACACTTCCTAAGCAAAACTGACTATTCCTCCACTGCCCTGTTGTCCATCGTTACCAACATGAAGCATACTGGGAGTAATCCTTGAAGCCCTTTTCTAAACTGGAGTAGTTGCTGTCATGTTTCAAATGTTATGAGGGAAAGAGTGTGAAATATACAGACTCTCGTGCAGAAGGTCAAACATCTCGCTTCGATGTTCACAATGTTTCAGACCTCGTCTGTATTTACAGGGATCAGAAATGACCTTAAAACTCAAGATGAGGAGTTCAGTTCCCTTAAATACTTTCTCACTCCATACTAAAAGTCTAACATGTTACAGTCAGATCATCAGCCTGCTTTTGTAGTTTAAAACTGGTTAAAAGAGCAAATGAGTCTTCCACTGCTTCTTTAAACAATCAACAAAATTAAGACAGTGCAAAGATGGAGGTAAGGCATTCCACAATCTGGGGTTAAAAGGAGATTGTGGGACCATTAACAGCCTTTGTCTTCTGTGGGGATATGAGATTTTGGCCATATCGCACAGCCCTACGAGAAGCTCAGAAATATACGCTGGAGATTAAAACTTTATCTTCGCCAGTTTTTTGGATTTTAGATGGCCGACGTTTCACGTGGTGCATTTCATTTGTTCGTGGCTCAGTTCTGTGACAGAGCAGACTCAGACACATGAATAGAGGTTTCAAACATGTCTGACAAAGTCAAACAAAGTCGCGTGGTGTAATGAAATAAAACCAGCCGAATGCTCACCTGGATGGTGGGGTAGCTCATGGAGTGACTGATCCTCACCGGCCGCCCGCACACCGACGCCGTGATGTTCCCGTTGTAGAAGTTGGCCATCGCCCGTGCTTCTTCTTCTGTGGCGAACTGAAGGAACGCCTGACGAGGGAGAGGAGACAAACAAAGAGGTGTTTAAACGGCACAGAACAAATGTCTGTAAAGCGTACGCCTTAACCTTAAAAGATGCTTCACAAGTGACTGAAAGGAGCTCTCAGTTTTACTGATTTTCAAAATTAATCTCTAATTTTAAATATTTTAAATACTGTGAGTGAGTTCTGGTGTACCTCGGGTCTCAGGTCCAGCACCAGGTGCTTGACCACCTTCCCGAAAGGCTGGGCGAGTTTCAGCAGCTCGTTGAGGTACTGGTACCCTCGCCTGAAGCCGACGATGTTCACCACCCTCATACCCTGATGGGAGGAGCAAGAATTGAGGAATTCCAGTGAAGCAGAGTGAATGAAAACAGGTTTCTGAACAAAAGTTATGTTGGAAATCTCAAAATGTCTGAAGCTAGCGCAATTACATACAAAAGCAAAGATATTATGGATCAAAAACCATTATTAATGCAAAATTTTCCTCTGTGTGGAGGTTTGAGCAAACACCATTATAAACATATTGATTATTATAAACTCAGAGTATTTATCAAAGTAAACGCGTCTGACGAAGCACTAAATAGAGTTAGAGTGACAGTGTGACCTCAGAGGATCAGATTTAGAGGGAGTGTCATGCAGCTGAGATGCAGTGATCCACAGAAACATGAAGTCAAATATTAAAGGTATCAGAGCGACGGCGCTCGGGTACGTACCCCTCGCCTCGTGTTGTCTGCAGAGAAGAGGAGACACAAACAGAGAGGAAGATGTGCGTTAATTTCAAACACCTTTTTGTTGATTGAAGACATCGTCCTCACATCCATGAAGGAAAATGACTTTTTAAGGAAAAGCTGGTGCTGCAGCACATTACAGGTACAAGTGTTAACTTTGATCTCTAAATATTGATCTATCAGGTACCGATATTGTCCGACTCTCCATGGGCTTCATCGTTGTCTTCCTCCAGCTCGTCCAGCGTCACAAAGTCCTCCATGTTCTCTGGGAAGTCCTGCTGGAAGAGACATCATTAACACACCTGTGCCACTCCTGGATTACAGGCTGAAGGACAGAGCAGGTGCGTCACCTCTTCTTCGGGTAGATCTCCCTCCGCTGCCTCCGGAGCCTCCGAGCTCTCTGCCGCCTCCATGTTCGCCTCCTCTTTGCTCTCGTGCTCCTCGGCCGAAGTTTCTGTTTCTGCCGCTTCCGTTTGTGGCTCTGACTCCGCCTCCTGCTTGACCTCACCCGTGTCTCCAGGTGTGTCATCAGTGACATCATCAGTAACCTGTGTGCAGTTCGGTTTAATTCCAGGAATCACTTTTGGCTTTAATATATTTTTCTTCATCTTTTTTGTTTTCTCACCTTCTCCTCCTCTTTCTTCTCCTCCTCCTCCTCCTCCTGTCGAGCATCCTCAGACTCCTCTACCGTCAAATGCACAGACTCTGCTCCCTCTGACTCCTCCCCCTCTCCATCAGTTGCTGCCTGCTCCTCCCCCTCCCCATCCTCCCCTCCTTCCATCACACCTGAGACTTCCTTCTCCTCCTCTTCTTCCTCCTCCTCTGGCTCTGCCTTCACTTTCTTCTCCTCTTTCTCTTCCTCCTCCTTCTTCTCCTCCTCCTTCTCCTCCCTCTTCTTGTCTTCTTTGGACCTGGAGGTGGATGATTTGGATAAGGTGGTTTTGGAGGAGGTCCTGGTTCCAGTGCCGGAGGAGGTGGAGTTGGCTTTGCCACTCTTCCTGTTCGAAGCGTCTCCTCCGCCCTTCCTTGCGTTCACACTGCGTGAAGCACAGAAGCATTAATGCATTACTGACTTAACTTTTCTTACTCAAGTTAGCTTTATTACTTATTTACTTTCTATAATTACTTTTTTTTGGTCAAATTTACTTTATTTTCTTTACTTGCTTTTTGTTTAACTTAATCCAAGTTACAAAATTCTGTTAGTGTTTCCTACTGCACAGAAGAGGAAAGAGTCCTGCACCAGGTCACAGACAATGTCACGGCCATCACGCGTCTGAGGTACTCACTTGAGGGTTTTGTACTTAGTGCAGACATTGAGGCGGATCCGTCTTCCTCGGATGGTGAGGGGGTTCACAGTGTAATACTTCACCAGCATCTCTGCATCCTCTGCAGTTCCCAGCTGGATAAATGCCTGCACACATGGAAAGTCAGACTCATTTTAGCTCATGGAGGGCGTACAGGCCAATTTTGTGACCAATAAAAAAAAAAAAAAAAAAAACACACACTTTCCACACTATCCACAATCACGAAAAGCAGCATTAAAAAAAACATTAATGAATAACTGAATGTTAGTTAGTTGCTTAAACCTGGCTGACATGCCAGGTTTAAGCAACACTGGTGTCTTTGAAAAATTTTGGGGTGGTGGTCGAGGGATGAGAAGTTTGGATCCAGACAGATCCCTGCTCGACTTTTAAGGCTTCAAACTTTCCTTTTTGCTAAAGCTTAAAGTCAGCGATGGCACCAGTACCTGGTCTGTTAAGAAGAGGTGTTTCTCCACAACACCAAAGCGCTCAGCAATGGTCAGCAGCTCCTTCTTCTTCTCATCCTCGCGGGGCAGGTTGGAGAAAAAAACTACCTTGCTGGCTTGACCTTTGACCTCCCTCACAGGTCTGTCCATCAGTCGATCCATCGGTCGGTCCATCGATCGCTCGTCTTTCTGAGGGTCAAAAACGGAAACCTGTGAGGGTCTGAGTGTGTCAGAAAGCAGTGAGTTTTATTTAACCGGCGAGGGCAACGTTACCTCGATGAACATGAGGGTCTGGGACAGGTAGAAGGAGATGGATTTGCCGTACAGAGATGCCGGGTGCTGTTTGTAGTAGTTCACCACATCCAGAGCTTCTTCATGAGTGCTCATCTCCAGAAAAGCCTGATGGACACAGAAATTAGACTTCAGGTCTTACTGTGAAACAGGAAACAGGTCAGATCCAGTGGTTTGTGATCTTTAGGACGACGATACTCAAGCTTGGCTCTTTTCTGTAAAGTGTGAGGGCTTGGACTGAGCGATGGTCAAAGTTTTTCCTCTATACAGACTTTCTGGGGAAGTTTTTCCTTAAGTTCAAGTCACCCTTCTCTTTTTTGGTTTATTTGGTGCACTTGTTTAAAAATCCTTCTGAAAAATCAACCCTTATTTGACCCGTTTAACTTTATGAGTTATGTGACATATTCAGCTTAATTTAAATAAAATTTGTAGTTAACATTTTGTTCTTTTTTAAACTTTGATTGTATTTGATCCAGACATCATTTTTTGCCATTTATGTAGATTTTAACTTGCTGCAGTCAGTACGTTATTAACTTATACTGAATTTTAGTTTGATTTTTATTAAGCTCACTTTGTTTTATTGAGGCATATATTATTATTATTATTATTATTATTATTATTATTATTATTATTATTATTATTATTATTATTATACCATTTTATTTAAGATGCGCTAACGTGATATTTCTTTTTCTCTCCTTTTTAAAAAACATTTTGAAATTGTTCTTCTGAGTCAGAGCAAAACAAATACTTCAAACAACACATCAAAAAATTATTTGCATTTTCTTAAAAAGAAGAAGAAAAAAGAAAAAGTCCAGACATCTGACACATCTTCGACTGACTGACCTTCCTATGACTCATTAGTCTTCCCTTTCTGATTTATATTAAATTACATGAGTCGTCACATTTAAAATCAATCGCTACCTCCGACCCAATCCCGACAGAATCAGCTAACCTCGCAAAGCCCAGCAAAATCTTACCTTCACACAATGAATATTTCCAGTTACAGCCCTCAGAGTTCATAGGGGTGCTCAGAATTTTGCACTTTTAATTTGTGTTATTATTTTTACTTTAATTTCATGAGTACAGCTGGTTTCCACATCAAATTCATGTGAGTGTCCCAATCTAAAGCCAAAATCTGTTTCTTTTTTTGTTCCCTATGATTTTTAAAAATTATTAAAAGGTATTTTTTCCCTTCCTCAGATTTGAAATGAATGAAGTGGAAACAGCGAGGTGAGCTGTCCTACCTTGTTCTTGAGGATGAGGTGCTCCCTCAGGCAGCCGAAGCGCTCAGCGAAGGCGAACAGGGTCTTGTTGCTGAGAGGCTTCCTGTCGTATTTCACCACCACCACCCTGCTCCTCAGCTGAGGACACAACATTTAACACTGCTGCACCGTCACTGAAGCACCACAAAGCTTTTCAAAGATATTCTGGATGACGTGGACTTTTAAACAATGTGTTTGGCACAGAGGGAGGAAATATGTTTACTGAAACCCTCTGAAATCCACAGGGTCAGAGACACAGCAGGTGACACAAGCGTTCAGACTGACCTTATTCAGACCCAGCTGTCCAGGACCTCCACCTCCACCTCCACCTGACACAGAAAAACACAATGTTTAGGCCACCAATTTAGGATCTTTTAAGTGACCAAAATGACCATGCAGGGTTTTTATATTTTATACAGAAATAAACTTTTTAAAGGCTCTGATTACATTAAATTAGGGTTGTGCGATATGACCAAAATCTCATATCCTGATCAAAAACATTTCCCATCCTGATAACGCTTTATATCACAAAATAGCGCATTTTCTGTAAATGCTGTGAATCTCAGGCAACTCGATTTGCGTGAAGTGTACCTGGAGCACACGACGCCTGAATCTATACATTTTTAGATAGAAGCTGTAATGCCTGCCATTTTCATTGTGAGTATTTATTACATGGTGTGCTGCTGGGAAAAGCCTGTTCTAATGTTTGAGTCTAAAGATTATTTTGAGCACCTGCCTTCTCTTTTTTATCTGTGATGGTTTTTGTGCCCGAACATTTTCAGAGCAATTATTTAATAAGTAAGGTAAGTCAGCAAGTAAATAAAGTAAGATAAGTAAGTACAGTAACAAAAGTATAGTAAGTACACTAACCAAATTAATAAGGTAAGTATAACAAGTAAAGTAAGCCAAGTAGAGCAACTATAGTTTATTTATTTTACTCACTAAAGTGATCACAGTAAGTAAAGTACACTAAATACAGTGAGTACAATAAACAGTAAATGAAGTGAGAAGAGTAAAGAAAATATGGTAAAGTAAGTACAGCTAATAAAGTGAGTAAAGTTTGACAAGGAAGAAAACAAATTACAGGAAGAAAAGCAAAAGTAAAACATGTTTAGTTTTGCTACTTATCTCACTTAAATAGAGTAAGCATGTACAGTCAGTAAATAAACAGAAATAGTAAAAGTAAAGTTAAATAATGAAGTCATTAAGTAAGACAAGTAAACTAAATAAACAAAGGAGTACACTGAGTACATTGAAAAAAGTAAGCAAAGAAAGTAAAGTTAACAAAGTACAGAGAGTTAAATAAGTCAGTAAGTAAAGGACGGTAAGAGAAAAACTACATTAAAGAAAATACTGGCGGCAGCCTCTGCCACCTCTCAGCCTCCTAGTAGATGCACCTATGGTATGAATTTCAAAATCCTGCATCACCTTGTTCTCAAATTGTTCAAACCTAAGTCAAGTCCATGAGAAAAATAAGAAAGCTCTGGCTGATTCATTCAGATAAGTAAAGTAGGTAACAAAACTAGGTGTAGTAAGAAAAGAATGTGCGTAAGTAAAGAAGGTAAAGTAAGATATGTAAAACAAGCACCGCTAGTAAATGAGGGAAAATAAGAACTAGTTAAGTAAAGTAAGTACAGTATGTACAGTAAGATAAGTAAAGTAAATAAGACAGACAACTAAGTATTGAAACAAAATTAAAGATAATTTACTTAATTCCTTTAATTACATAAGTATAGTAATTAAATGAGTATATTATAATAAGCTAAAGTAACTAAATTAAATTGAGTAAAAAGACTAAGCTAAGGATGCAAGTGAAGTCAGTACATTAAATGAACAAATAAATGTTCATTATATTAAAAAAAATGATGGATTTAAAATATCACGATCGGCCCTTTAGAATTTTAAAAAATACATAAGGACAAGTTAAGACGATTTATGTCCTGGAGTGGACTAAAACCTCTAGCAATAATGATAACAGTAATAATTAGAAGAAGAAAAAGGCATCTGCATGTATCTTACCCCAGCTCGAGGACATCCCTCCCATTGGTCCTGAAGACATGGGGGCGGGACCCAGCAGCCCTGCAGACAGGTTGGGGGTCTCTGAGAGACCTCCACTGGAAATAAATGAACTAGGGTGTGAGTCAGTTATCAAACATCTGGATTATTAGAACAAAATATAATATGATGTAATACAATATAAAAATTACTCAATTAGCACAAACAAGCTATAGAAGCTGCAAAGAGTCTGTGAACCCCAGAATTTGATTTTTTATGATATGATGTCTGATTCTCAACTGCAGTCTATCACAGATTTTACTTTAATTTGAAGTATTAAAGTATTTTTACTTCCAGTGTGTGAACAGACTGAAGTGTAATGTCCCCCTCAGTTGCCTGTAGCAGCATGTGGGCCGACTCTGATAGTCCATGTCATGATTTCACTTCTGAGTGCTTCAATGACTGCACAAGCTAACTTAGAAATGCTAGTGCTATCATTGCTATCACTTAGCTTAGAAATGGAGTCCACAATTCAGTCATGATTACAGAGAGCAGCAGATGAATTATTTTCTACACTATAATTACTGTTTTGCTAACAGTATCCGTGTCTCTTACCCTCTGCCTGAGCCCATACCGGGATCCCACTCAGGATACCTAAAAGAAAAAACAAACAAACAAAAAAACATTCACACAATATTAAACATCTATTAAAGAGGGAAAGACCTCTGAGTTCAATCCAGCATAAACCAAGTAGGTGACACATCTTGACTGACTGCAGATGGTTTCAATGTTTTGGCTCACTGTTGTGTATTAAGAGCGACTCACATGTCAAGAAGCTGCCGTCTGTTTTCAGCATGGCGGAGTCCATTAATGTGTTGATTCCACTCCTACAAACACATCTAGAGAATGAGTGACGCTCAAACACTTTCATTTCCTAACATGGAACCTCTATATTAAAGGTCCAGTTCAAACAGTTATTAACCTTAAGTGGTTCATTCAGAAAAGCACCCAGGGAATTGTTTTTGTTTTGTTTTTTAAACTAAGTAAAAAAAAAAAAATTATCACCTGTTACTTAAAGGGTATGATAAAATGGTTCCTGTACCGTTTTAAAAATTAAAGGAGTGCTTTTTAAGATCTTTTAGAAATGACTTAAAAAAAGAAATGAAAAACAGCATTTGATGCCTTTTTTCCAAGAAAAGAAAAGGGTAATGTGGATCTTTTTGGATTCTAAACTGGCTAGACAAAACAGTAACAGTCACTGATTTTAAGAAGGTTATAAAATACCATGTGTATATTTCTCAAATCTTTAGCAAAGGCTTGGGAAATAGAACATTTTAAGACCATTTTAATTCCTTTTTTTAAAAGTTCATACTTAATGCCCCAGAAGAAACCCTGACACCACAAACTAAAGAAAAACAAACAAGACCCCAGCTGCCAAAAGTCTCACAGGTTTAAAAGCTGCCAATTCGATAAGTCCATGAATGTGTGAGGAGCTTTAAATGTTTCATGTTGGAGACACAAGGAGCAAATCAAGATCCTCCCAGGACTTTGTTAAAGCTAATGAAGTGAAAAGATCAAGTATATCAGACTGAATGTGTAACATGAACAGCTTTACCAGCTCATGTGAACAGATACTAATTATAAAAAGAGATTTTTGGTTTAATTGGATGACCGCTGGAAAGATCCAAATCTAACTGTTCAATGCTGGAGAGCTTCAGCTGAGAAAATGGAGACAGGCAACATGCTGTGAGGAGATACAACAAGGAAATTATATGAAGTAAACCGGACCTGAATCAGCGCCTGTCACTGACTGAAGGAAGACTGGAGCTCAAACAATTACAGTTAGTCCGAGAAGAAAAGAGGAAGCAGGTTGGACGTACTCACCATGGTGGAATGAACGTCAAAGTCACAAAGAGAGCACACGTGGGGGAACATGGGGGGCATGACTCCCAAGAAGTCTTGGACTTTTCCGTTTGACGGGGAGCCCATCCTCCTCTGCATAAAGACGGGCTCAGACGGGCCCATGAGCCGCGGTGGGAAAGCTCAGAGTATGGTTGTGGTGATGGTGGGATGTGTTGGGCGTGTTGTGGGTGGTCGGCTGTGATGATTGTGTTTGGTTGTGGTGACCGTGTTTGTCATGCCGGGTGTGATTGGGGTTCAGGTGTCGGTCGATAAGTCTGCTGATGTTAGGTATGGCCTGTCTGTTGCCCGTGTGGTGTGCGGTGTTCCCGACCGTGTGGTGTGTCCACCTCTCAACCGGCCTGGTTTTGAGTGTAGTGTAAGTGCCGAGTAGCGGTGTCCGGAGGGTAGTGAGGCGGTCGTGGCTGTTGGTTCGATTGGGGGCGTGTTGATTGCCGCAGAAGTCTGTGGAGGACGGTGGCTGAAGCTCGTTGTCCGGGCTAGATGAGGAGCCTTGGTCGCGGGCAGATTTGTGGTGATAGGGTGGTGGTGTGGGGCGTTCGGGGTGTGTGTTGCCGCAGGGTGATAGTTCGGCCGTGCTGTGCTTTCCTAGGCTTCGGCTGGTTGCCTCGCGATTATTGCTGGGCTGTGTTGGTGTGGGTTTTACGGCGAGGTGTCATCTTCGCGAGGAGGAGATGTTGCCGTTGGTTGTATCCGGGCTCGTGCTCTCGTGGTTTTTGTTTGTGCTGGGGCGGTCCCGTCGTTGGCTGTTATGCTGGGTCGTTTGTGGTTGTCGATGATGTTGGTCGGGGTGTGTTCTTGTCTGTTTGGTGAGGCAGTGTGTGGTTTGCGGTTCGAGCGGTCGTCGTCGACATCTGGGGAATGCTTGCTCTTGGCTTCAGGGTGTGATTTGCGAGCTTCGGAGAGAGTTCCCAGGTCCGAGAGGTTGCGGTATGTTGGCAGGGTTAGCCAACTGGCAAAGCAGACTGTCATGGGTGTGCTGGTGTGCAAGATTGCTGGGTGGGTGGTCTGTGTGGTGTTGTTGGGATGATGGTTTGGGCGGGATGGCCGGCCACCGGGGTGGTGGTTGTGTGTGCGGGGTGTGGTTTGGGGGGGGTGTGTGGTGTGCGTTGTTCGAGGGTCGTGGTTGTAGTGTGTGGGTTTTTGGTGGTGGTGTTGGTGTGTTGTGTTTTGGTGGGGTGTGTGTTTAGGTGGGTCGTGTTGTTTGCTCTTTTTGGTGGTTGTGGTTTGTGGGGTTTTTTGTGGTTTGTGTGGGGTTGGGATCGGAGTGTGTTGTGTGGGTTATTGGGGTGTTTGTGGGTGGTTGTGGTGGGGTTTGGTGTGTGGTGGGTGTTGGTGGTGGTGGGGGTTTGTGTTGGGGGGTTGGTGCGGGGTGTGGTGTTGTGGGGTGATGGTGTTGAGTGGTGTTCTTGTGTTGGTGTTTGTGTGTGTTGGTTGTTGTGTTGGTGTTTTAGGTGTTGTGTTGGTGTTTGAGTTGTTGTTTTGGTGTTTGAGGTGTTTGTTGGTGTTTGGAGTGGTGTGTTGGTGTTTGTGGTGTTGTGTTGTGTTGGTGTTTGTGGGTGGTGTTGGTGTTTGTGGTGTTGTGTTGTGTATGGGTGTGTTTTTGGTGGGGTGTGTGGGGATGTTGCGTTGTGAGTTGTGGTGGGGGTGTGTTGGTGGCTGGGGTGTTTGTGTTGTGTGTTGTTGTAGTGGTCTTTGTGTGTGTGGGTGGGGTTTTGTGTTTGTGGTTTTGTTGGGTGGGTTGGGTGGTGTGTGTTTTTGCTGTGTTGTGTGTTGTTGTGGTTCGTTGTGTGGTGTTGGGTTGGTGTCGGTGGTTGGTGTGTGTAGTTGTGTGGTTGTGTGTTGTGGGTCTGGGATGATTGTGTTGGGTGTTGTTGTGTTTTTGTGTTTTGATGTTGGTTGTGTGTGTAGGTTTGGGGTTGGTGTCTTTTTTGTGGTTGTGGTGTTGTTGGTGTGTGGGGTGGGTGTTTGGGGGTGTGTGGTGTGTTGGAGTGCGTGGGTTGTGCTTTGCCTTCTGTTGGGGCGTTGTGGGTATGGTGTGTTGTTGGTTTTGTGGGGGTGTTGGTGTTGGTGGTGAGTGGATTTGGTGTGGTGGTTCTGTTTGTTGTTGTTTGTAGGTGGTGTGTGTGTATTGTGTGTGGTGGTGGTGTTTGTGTGGTTGTTTGGGTAGTGGTTAATCGTGTGCGTTGGGGTGTGTGTGGTTTTGGGTGGTTGGGTGCAGTCGGTGGCTTTCGGGTTGTGCTGGGTGGTGTGGGTGTGTGTCGCTCTTTGGGCTGTCTGGCTCTCATTTGGTGTGCGGTGCTTCTATTTTGTTTTTTGGTGGTGTGAGATTGTTGTGTGTTGTTTGTTGTGGTGGGGTGGTTTTGGTGTGTGGTGTGTTGGTGGTGTGTGGTTGTGGTTGTGGTTTGTTTGGCGCGTATGTGTTGTGGCCGTCGTCTATGCGTTGGTGATGGCGTTTGGGTTTTCAGTTTGTGCGCCATTGTGTGTGCGTGTGTTGTTGTGGGGAGCGCTGTTGCTGTTTTGTCGTTTGCATGTATTGGGTTGTTGAGAGTGTTGCAAGTTGTGGTGTTTGGTTTGGTGGCTGTGTTTGGTGGCAGGTGCTGTGTCGTTTGTCGATTGTGTGAGGTGGCTTGCTGCTCTTTTCCGCTGTTAGGTCTCGTGTCTCCGTATCAGGGGTGCGATTGAGTGTTGTGTGTTTTGTTTGTCGGTGTGTGTTTTCTGCCGGTTGGGTTGTGCTGTTTTTGCAGTTGGTTCTGTTGTTGTGTTCTGCGTTTGTCGTTTCTCTGAGTGATCGTTGATGGTGGATTTATTTGTCGTTGTATAAAAGATGCTGTGTTGCTCTGCGGGTCTGGTTCTGTGCGTTTGTGAGTGGTGCAGGCGATCGTGGATGTAGGTCTCAATGTGATTATAGGTTTAGGAGTGTACATGCCCCGCTCTCTGGATTCAGCACAGAGAGCCAAGATAAAGAAGGAAACAGGCGCTGGAAAAGGTCTTCAAAGATGACAGGAACTTAATGTGGTCAAAGAGAGCAGGAGCTCCTTTTCTTCTGTGGTGGCAAGCCTTATTTCTGCTGAGACACAATGAGGTAGAAAAAGCTTCAAACAAAGCCTCTCCTAAGAAAACAGGAGCCAGTGGAGGCCCTGAGCAACAGACGGAGGAGCACGACTCTGATCTTTACTGCAAAGGGAACATAGGAGGCGGTTAAAGGAGGAGAGAGAGAAAGATTCACCTCAGCCCAGCAGGAGGAACATGACCTGATGCAAACAGAGTGATGGAGACCTCCTCACTGAGGAAGAGAAACTCTGAGTCCACGAAAACATCGACAAGAGGCGAGATTACAACGAGCCTCTGAGTGAATCACAGCCTGACACAGACCAGGAGTAACATCTGTGCAGGTACAGCGAGAGGAGAAGGAAAGCTGCAGCAAACACGCCTACGGGGGAGGGGCTAACAGCTAAACTAAGCTAAATGCGCTAATATCATCCATAAACACTACTCTGTTTAGCCTGACATGTTTTAACTAAAAGCATAGATAATTAAAACTAGGCGTCCAAAAGTGAGTAAAAGCAGACCGACAATGACTCAGACAAGCTGTGTAGCTAAGGTAGCTAACATTGCTAACACACGTCGCCTGCTACATGCTAACACTAGAATAGGTAAAACCCTTCAATTATCTGATATTTAACGTGCAAACTGTACATGAAGCTGTTAATATATAACGTGTATAATGAGGATTAATCTGTAGACACAGACGCTCTTACCCTTTCTCCAAAACCTTTTAGATCAGTTATTTATGAGCCTGCGTGAGAGACAACCGCACACTACGAAGTATCGCGATATTTCGTCTCAACTCACAGCGGGTTTTACTGAGGTTTCTCCGCTCTTCGCGGTTCTTTTTCTTCTTTCTAGTGCAAATAGAGGGCTCGGCAAGTTCTTCTGTCTTTATTACTAGTTAATTAAACTACTCTTATCATCAGCAAGACCGAAGAGCTGGAAGGACAGTTAGGGCTTGTGAATAAAGTTTAAACAATGGACTCTCCCCCCGTATTCGTTTAATGGTACGTCTCAGTACGATCACGTGTCTGAATGTAACGATCAAACAAAAGGTGTCTGTTCAGTTTGTATGATAGCTCAAAAATCTGCAGCCAGTTCTAAATACATCATTTAAATACATCATCTTGAATGTCATCTTTTTGTAATTTTAGGATAATAAAAAATAAGAGGAGAAAGGAAATAAATCTCCTTCGTTCACATTTATTTTAGCTTCACAGGTTTACTTATTTCTGCTTAAACATCTTGTTTTTCTGAACAGCAGCATCAGTCAAACTAGAGGAAGGTAGTGAGGAAAACCTTTGAGAGAGTGAGGTTGATTACCTGGCAGAAAATAATCCAGGTAGATGGATCACCTGATCAACCGGGTAAATTACAGTGGAAGCCCAGCCAACCACATGCTGCCTCATGCAGAAGTACAATTTTTTCCCCTTTATGTGGTACTGAAACTGAAAATTATCAAAGAAAAACTCATGTCTTTGAATGAAAAAAAAAAAAGAAAATATTTTTATTATTTTTGGAACAAAAAACTACAAAAAAGCTAACCCTAAATAAATAAAAATACAAGATAAAAATGTCTATTTTAACAAAATTCTAACACATTTTATTGAGAAACCAAGAACAAAGTCAAGTCCGTTTCAGACGTTAAACAAATATTCACATCTATGAGTCTTAAAAAAATAATTTATTGTTCAGATGTTAGTTTGAAAAATCAGATGTTTCAAAAATCAAAGGAAAAACCTGCACAGGCAAAATGTTTTTATACTGTTTGGTCAACATTTTGTTTTGTCTAATCAATAACATAACTAATCAATAACAGAGTCTTTGAGGCTTTAAGCCCACAGAGCAGCAGCAGGAAGTCACTCAGATGTGTGTTTCACACATGGCTAAAGAAACAAAATTAAAACCTTAAAAAAAAAAATCTGACATTCACGCCTCTTCCTCAGCTTCAGGTGTTCTCAGGTCGGCAGCGCCTTCTTCTCTGCTTTGCTCTGCTCCTTCTCCAGGTGTTTCTGAAAACAAACATATGCTGTAATGTGGGCGGGGCAGTGTCGCATATGTACTTCAGGTATGTTATAATGTGGCTAGGTCTAAGGTGTATCATTATGTGGGCACCTGCAGCTTGTTGTAGTGAGCTTGGCTGCTGCAGTGCATCTTCTTCGCCGTGTCTTCGTTGGAGTAAAACAGGAAACAGATGCGGCAGTAAAACCCCGCCTTCACGTGTTCGATACCTGAAACAGTAACAATGACGATGATGACGGCGAGTTTTTTTTGACGTGAACCTGACGATGACCTGGCGAAGCTTTCTCACCGATGGGTGTGGAGGGATCGTACAGCGGCAGGGGCAGAGACGCTGTGCTGGCTTTGCTCGCAGCGACAGGAACAGCCTCTGTCTGCTCATTCTGATTAGTCGATGTCTCCATCTGCGAAAATAAAAGAGAAAAACAAAAGATTCGTCTTGTTTACCTGTTTTATTTCAAATCCAAATTTATTTAAATAATTAAAATGTGTAAAAACAAAGTTTCCCCATTGTTAGCATGTTAGCAATTAGCTCAAATCTCTGGTCAGTTGATGGAAAGATGTTTAAATGAATTCGATGTCACCGAAGTCGTCTTTGATTGAACGTTTCAATAACGAGCTGTACAAACGACTCACGTCCTCGCTGTCCTTCAGCTTCTCAGCACCCAAATTTTCATCCATCACCGTCTCTTCACCACTGACTTCACAACTCTGCACTTCCTCCTCCTTTTTCTCCTCTTCCTCTTGTTTGACCTCCTCTTTGGGCTTCTTCCCTGGAGGCTCCTCGCTGTCATGGGAGGATTTTAGTGGCGGGCTCTCGCTCGCTCTCTTCTTGGTGTTCGGCACTCTATGGCTTAATGGACAGACGTGATTGAGGGGTTCAGAGGCTTCAGCTTAAAGCAAAGTACATCCACAAGCTGTAAAAGACAGGTGTCATCTCCAGGTTTACATTTAGATAAAAGGCCTGAAGACGACTGCTGCTGTGAAGAGAAACTAATAAATCAGACTCGTGCAGCGAGCACACAAGAAGAAAAAGAAGAAACTCACCCGTCTTTGAGCTGCTTGTACTTCCTGCTCACGTAGAGGGTCAGGCGCTTCCCGCTGAATCTCAGTGGCTTCGCTTTATAATCGGCAGCCATCTTCTCTGCGTCCTCGGCATTACACATCTCGAGGAAACACTGAGGACAAGCATCAGACGGCTTTAAAGCAGCAGGAGTTATGTGGATTCAGGTCGGACGTGCATTTGTCCCAGTTCCGTACCTCTCTCCGGATCCTGTTCAGGAAGTACTTCTTCACCCTCCCGTATGGTTCGGCGAGCTTCAGGACCTCCTCGTCCGTGTATTTGCTGTTGGGGATCTGCCCGATGTACACCACCTTGCTGGAACCGGACTGAACAGCAAACACAGAGAAAATGAGCCCACAAAGAAGAAAACAAACACCGACTGTCCTCATACGGTCGTGTTTCTTTTATCTGACAAATGTCACAAATATCACATTTTTACTGGCCCACAATAATCTGGAACACTAATAACATCCACATCTTCTCTGATCCTGCTTCCTGTCACCGATTTCCAGTGTAAGTCACAATTCATTTTAGTTTTACTATAAACATAAAGCCCAACACAGCCAGGCATCTGCTTATGCAGCAGACCTGCTGAAACCTTAAAACAGCAGTTTGATCATCTGATCAGAATCTTTTATTGATCCATGATCTTATTGTAAATCCAGAGCCGATCACACTTTGAGGTTGTAGCTCGTAAACATTGGAACAGCTGAATCTGGGGTTTGTTTTAAATGACTGCTCAAAGATAATTTTACTTATTTATTTTTTATATTTTAGCTTTAACCAATGACCACTGCAGTCTGGCTAAGGTCTATGTATTTAGAACATTTTAGACACAAACCTTATTCTCAGGTTTCAAATTTTGTAGAAATTAATAAATCAGATGAAAACATAACATGGAGGTTAAAAAAATTTAAATAAATCACCTGGATGGTGGGGTAGCTCATGGAGTGACTGATCTTCACCGTCCGCCCGCACACTGACGCCGTGATGTTCCCGTTGTAGAAGTTGGCCATCGCCCGTGCTTCTTCTTCTGTAGCAAACTGAAGGAACGCCTAACGAGGGAGAGGAGACAATGCGATATTCAAAAATACTTTTCAGGAAATATCCAACTAATTCAATTGGATGCAGGTTCGTTTACCACTTCTATATTTACCACTTCTCCAAATTTCCATTTGGAACATTTTTCAACTGATGTTTGAAAAAGTTGCTTTACTGGTGTGATACAAATGTCCAGGATTAAACTTTCACTTAACACTGAACAGAGTACCTCGGGTCTCAGGTCCAGCACCAGGTGCTTGACCACCTTCCCGAAAGGCTGGGCAAGTTTCAGCAGCTCGTTGAGGTACTGGTACCCTCGCCTGAAGCCGACGATGTTCACCACCCTCATACCCTGATGGGAGGAGCAAGAATTGAGGAATTCCAGTGAAACAGAGTGAATGAAAACAGGTTTCTGAACACAGATTATGTTGGAAATCTCATAAAATGTCGAAAGTAGTGCAATTTCATATAAAACTAAAGTTATTGTGAATCAAAAGTTCAATTGCAGTTGAACTTTGTCAATCTCCCCTCACTCACAAACTATTTGAACTACTCAACTTGAGGGAGTCATTAATTCACCAATGAGCTCTCCACCCTTCAGTTGTAAAAAAATAGACCACAGAAAAGGTCAAAATATTTCAAATGTATTAATAAAGTGAAAAACTGAGATTCTTGAGATGCAGTGATCCACAGAAACATGAAGTCAAATATTAAAGGTATCAGAGCGACGGCGCTCGGGTACGTACCCCTCGCCTCGTGTTGTCTGCAGAGAAGAGGAGACACAAACAGAGAGGAAGATGTGCGTTAATTTCAAACACCTTTTTGTTGATTGAAGACATCGTCCTCACATCCATGAAGGAAAATGACTTTTTAAGGAAAAGCTGCAGCACATTACAGGTACAAGTGTTAACTTTGATCTCTAAATATTGATCTATCAGGTACCGATATTGTCCGACTCTCCATGGGCTTCATCGTTGTCTTCCTCCAGCTCGTCCAGCGTCACAAAGTCCTCCATGTTCTCTGGGAAGTCCTGCTGGAAGAGACATCATTAACACACCTGTGCCACTCCTGGATTACAGGCTGAAGGACAGAGCAGGTGCATCACCTCTTCTTCGGGTAGATCTCCCTCCGCTGCCTCCGGAGCCTCCGAGCTCTCTGCCGCCTCCATGTTCGCCTCCTCTTTGCTCTCGTGCTCCTCGGCCAAAGTTTCTGCTTGTGGCTCTGACTCGGCCTCCTGCTTGACCTCACCCGTGTCTCCAGGTGTGTCATTAGTGACATCATCGGTAACCTGTGTGCAGTTCGGTTTAATTCCAGGAATCACTTTTGGCTTTAATATTTGTTTCAACTTTGTTTTCTCACCTTCTCCTCCTCCTGTCGAGCATCCTCAGACTCCTCTACCGTCTCCTTCACAGACTCTGCTCCCTTAGGCTCGTCCTCCTTCTCCTTGCCATTAGGTACCTGCTCCTCCTTGCCATCAGGTACCTGCTCCTCCTTGCCATCAGGTACCTGATCCTCCTTGCCATCAGGTACCTGCTCCTCCTTGCCATCAGGTACCTGATCCTCCTTGCCATCAGGTACCTGATCCTCCTTCTCCTTGCCATCAGGTACCTGATCCTCCTTCTCCTTGCCATCAGGTACCTGATCCTCCTTCTCCT